ACGACTTGTTGAACTTCCTCGACCTCCAGGATGTTTGATTGTGGAGTAATTCAGAGTCTCAGAGGGAAACGAGAGGAGCAAGACTGCTGCTTCCTCCTGGATAAAAAAAGCAACCTGTTAAATTTAGCTGTGTGTGTGTGTGTGTGTGTGTGTGTGTGTGTGTGTGTGTGTTGTGTGTGAGAGTAGAAGGAAGGAGGGGGGGGGGGGGGGGGGGGGGGGGGGGGGGGGGGGGGGGGTCACAGTGGTGGATGTTCTGCAGCAGGCAGACTAATTACAGCTCAATTAACCCCAGAGGAGTTCTGCTAACGGTGCTCAACATTAACTTCCAACTATATTTAACTATATCAGATCTTAAAACTCACTCTAATGCCTTCCGCTCATTTGACTGTTTCTTTTTAACTCTGCACATCACAACACCAGGCAGCAGTGTGGCTCTTTGGGACGGTTGGTTCGACACTTTGGTCTCGACTGAAGTTTCCCAGTTCATCAACATCATTTACAGTTGAAAAAAGGTAATAAATCACAGTATATTTTATCGCAATACTTTTTGCAACATATTTAAAATCACAATAATATTGTATCATGGATCTTCTGGTGATTCCCACCCCTAAAAGATACTATGCAGCATTTTCCTAGAGATTATTTATGTCCTAAAATGTCAGTGTGGCTCAATATATGTGGTGAGATGAGACTGGACTTCACTTATAGCGGGACATTTCCTCGATCACAGCCGCTCTACACCACACACAGATATAAATTAACACGCTGTTGTCACATGGACTTAATGAATGAAGAGTGAGATTTGACTTTGATCAACTTGATGTGATGAACTGTTGTTTCTCTCCTGATGTTTTTGACCACAAGATGGTGCTCTAATGGTAGAAATGAAAAGGGAAGAACAGCAGAGGTGGTACAGATGATGGTTTGATGTCATAAAGGAGTGAACACTGAGTAAATGAGGGAGGAGCAGGAGTCTCTCAGGTGGTCTCTCAGCTTTGTGATGATGCATTTTTCAGATGATCCAGGAGGGTTTTTAAAGAGTTTATGTAGCTTAAGAAGGCGGAGAATTCTCTCAGCACATAAAGGAACAATTCAGTCTTCACTTTATCACAAACTCTCAGCACACATACATGGTTTTCACTGAACAGGAAGGATAAACTAACTAAAACTGTTTGATAAATGCAGTAAGAAGTTCAGTATTTACCTCTGAGATGTTTTAGAGAAGAAATATTAAGTTGAATGAAATGAAAATATTAAAGTAAATCACCAGTACTGTACCAGTCTGTTTGTGCTGTTACGCCTTTTCTTTGTATTTTTACGGCGTCGTAAAAGCAGCATTTCAGGCTATTAAAATACTGACGAAGCATCATTAGGAAACCCAGAGGCGTTAAATAATTAAAGGGTGTGTCATCATTTGTGGGAAGTTTTCAGAGCGTCGACGTGATTTATGTTTACAGTCAGTTTTAGATTTATTCATGACACATATTTGCACAGCTCGTTTATTTAACAGTTATTTTCAATGTGTCATTTGAAATGTACAAAATATAAAACGTACAAAATGATGCAAGATAAACATCAGAGATCCACTGCAGAGAATCAGACGTTCTTAAAAAACGTATATGAGCACATGCTAGTTAAATAAAATCTATATCTGCATTAAGAAAGTGAAGACAGTGAAGATGAATGCAAGGTTTTAAGTACAAATATATTAACCCCAAACTATGATAGTTAACAGTATATATGTAGTTGTGATTACCTCCAACTTTATGGGAGTGCAGTACTGTATTTCTTTTAATTTACGACCTTTAAAATGTAGAACAATTCTTAATTGAAGGCAACAATATGAACAAAAACCCATTTACAAAAAGCATTGTGAAGAAAATCTACAAAAAAATCTAAAAAATATAAAAATAAATCTGTAAATAAAACATCTTTTTTTTTTTTTTTTTTTTTACATAAGAAAGAATCATCAGGAAATACCAAATACCACAGAACAGCTGTATACATGTAAGATACCCTGACACATTGTTTTTATGGAAATAAACTTTTGGTAAAGGAAACAAAGCTTAAAGAAATAGGTTAACGCAATTTAACTACGGATCATTTTTCATTACTGAATGGAAACCAGTGGCTTCCTGGAATGGTGGGAAAAATAAATCCATCCAAAAAAATCTAAACAGCAGCATGCATGTCTGCAACATGCTGGAAATGGATATAATGCATCTCGCTCATTTTTAACAAATTCCATGAAAAGACCAAAACCAACAATGCATTACAACGTGTACGTCTCTTAATACGTTATGTTTTCTTTACCCTGTCTGTGGCTCAAACACTTTGGGTTCAAGATCTTTGAAAACAGCTCACAAATTTAAAGTTTTGCATTTTAAAAAAGCTCGGAAATTTCCTAAAACGGCTCCTAAATGCTACTCAAAGAGAAGGAAACAGTGCATTTGTTGGGGACTACTTTGAGTGGTGGATGAATCCACATTTGTTGCTCCAGTGGGCAGCAGGAAGGTAACATTTCCAGTAGCCTCAGCTGTACTTTGTGTTTAGTGCTTATTAGCATGCTAACATGACAATACCGATATTAAACCGAACATTAGCATTGCCACCATGAACATTTTAGCATACTGACATTAGCATTTAGCTCAAAGCAACAATGTGTGTAAGCACCTCACAGTAGTTCTCACATGGCTGTAGATTTTATTCTGTGTTCACACCACAAGCGTCACAGCAACAGGATACATGTTGTTCTTAATGGAAGTCGGAGACATGAAGCTACAAACTGATGCCTGACACTTGTCGCTGTGGACGGGCATGACGTACTACCAATCAGGCCTCAACTTTTTTCAGCAACCTAATGACACGGTGAAGTGTCAACTATGTTACATGCTTTGGTTTCTGGCTGTGGTAACCTTACTGTGTTATTTAGGTGGATGAGCTGACGCTATGCTAGCTTTATGTGCATTGGGGTGCACGTGGAGTTGCAATGGGGCGGAGAAATGTGATGTTAAAATGAGGCTCAGGCATTCATTAAAAGCACAGATGTTTTGTTGCATTGTGGTTTGCAGTGTGAATACAGCATTATGTTGTGTCTCACACAGGACGCGAATAAAAAATTTAGCGCGAGTGAATTCATGTAAAGTCAATGTAAAGATGCGATTAGACGAGAATTCCCGCCAGGCGGCACAATGGATGCGATGGACACAACGCACATGACACAAATTAAGTGGCGCAAATTAAACAAGTAGCGCAATTTCGAGGAAAATGTGAAATTCAGTGACCAATACACAACGCGATAGCAAATCAGCATTAAGATCCTCTGGGAGTTATTTGCACGTATGAAGCAAGTCAACACAAAATATTCTAGTGTTCAAACTTGTGCAAAGCAACGTGAACATTCGCATTGCATTTAATGTAAAAGCAACATAAGGCGTAATCCCAATAAACCCCATGCTCAAGCCCCCACCTCTCTGTGGTCACGACTCAGGGTCGGGTGTCCTGATCCTGCAGTGTGAACAGTGTTGCCAACTTTGTCGCTATATTTAGCGACTTTTCAGACCCCTCTAGCGACTCTTTTTCAAAAAAGCAACTAGCGACAAATCTAGCGACTTTTTCTGATGTTATTGAAGACTTCTGGAGACTCTGTTGTGAGAGCACATATCATTGTTAGTCTTCTCAACGGGCAGCGGATGCTGCCGTGAGCTCCTCTCTCGACCCAAAGCACTCACAGACGGACCAGTCCTCCCTCCCAGCAGCAGTCAGAGCAGGAGACGTTAACCCCTCCACGTCCAGACTGCAAGTGAATCGCACTTGCGCAGAACCACCACTGGCTGATCCCGACCAGGTTTACAGTCAGGGCGGGATGTAAATGTAAAACTTTTCTTTGTCTAATATAAATCACTGAAAGAAGGTTCATTTGTAGTTCTAAACATATTCAGGGTGGTTTTTACTCAGTTTTTGTCTCTCCCACGACGTTATTCTTCTCTACTACAGCAGCCATTACAATTACATGCATATGGACAATTATGCAGATTAGGCGATGATGTCATTTAGCGACTTCTAGCCACTTTTAGGACAGCCAATAGCTACTTTTCCTACTGAGGAGTTGCCAACAGTGAGTGTGAAGTGTTCGGGCTACATGGCTCTTTGGACAGAGGTTTTTCAGAGGCTCACTTTAAACCGAGTCAGAAGTCATCGGAGACCTCTGCAGAGGCAACAAAGGAAACCCACAAATATATTTTCTACAATAACGACTACAATAACGATTGTATTATCTATCTAACCATGTTGTATTATGGTCCTTTCCTTTATGACAAGCATAACAAAAACAAACAGTGAGTCGCATGCTGATGTTTTGGTAGCTAACAAGCTAGCTAGCTAATGTTACATTGCTGTTGCTGATTTGTGCGTGACAGTCCCGCAATTTGAAATATTTCTTTGTCGCATTCTCTTTGATGGTACATGACACCCAAAACAAGACTTCAGTCCAGCAGCGAAGTTGCTGCACGTGTTAGTGCTCCTCTGAAATCAGTGTTGCTAACGTAACTACAGAACACCGCTAGTGGCCTCGTAATGAAGCTTTTCTTTTTTATTTCATGAATAATTTGATCAATTGATCGTGTTGTGAACAAAATGAGAGCATTCATGCTTTACTGTCTCCATCAAATAAATGGCTAATGTCACTGTGATAAAACTGTTACTTTCATATTCGCATCTGTTTATGTTACGCCATTTAAGACGTATCATATCGTGTCTTGAAAGGTTTCCAATTTCATAGGGAAAGAATTTATCCACTACCTCTTGTAACTGTGCTCCTAATAAGTGGTAGGGATTGTCAGTAGTTTTTTGAACATGGATCGACACAATACTTGTTGTATTCTTGGTTTTGGTGTTTTCGTTTGATTTGTTAAGAAAAATCTAAGATATTGCAGCCGTGTCCTTTAAGGCCACTGAAAAGATAAGAAAACAGCAGCAGTAACAGTTCTTGTCCTCACGCTTCACTTCTGAGGGAACATGTAGCCGGCAGCGATGGACGGCAGCCCCGTCTTCTCTGCTATCCATTGGTTGTAATTGGTCACTGTGGTGTAAACGCCCGGTCGATTCTCCTTTGCACAGCCGTCCCCCCAGCTGATGACTCCGAACAGGAAGAGCCTGCTGCCGACCTGGCACACCAGAGGCCCTCCTGAGTCTCCCTGTGGGGGAGAGACGAGCAGCATTAATGGAAATCAACAAGCCGATCCGTGAAAGGTTGGTCGAGTTTGGACTTGTCGTGAATACCTCGCAGGCGTCCTGACTCCAGTCGGGGCGACCGGCACAAAACATGTTATCACTGATCAAGTTTCCATAATAGTCCTCCTGTCGACAGACATCATCTGCGAGAATGTTTACCTGAGTTTCTCTGAGGAACTGAGACTTATACCACAAACCTGCAGAGAAGAAAAGCTGTTACTGTACAACCTATTATGATTCATCAAATACACGTCATTAGAGGCAGAAACTAATTACAGTCACTTAGGTGCAGTTTAGAAGAACTGGTTTCTATTTGACAACACTTTTCCTCCACCACATTTATCTGATGGTTGGAGTTACACTGCAGGTTGAAATTTCACTCTGTTACATAGGTGTTAATAGTGTTTATTAGTGTTATAGATACACTGAGAGTATGTTCATCCATAATCACCGTCTTTAATGGCTGTTGGCAAAAATTCAAAGATAAAAATAGGTCTAACGCTGTGGTTGCTGTGTGGTTATGTTGAGACACAAAAATCAGTCTTGGGCTTTTAGTACCTGCATTTGATGGCATAAACGCAGCTGGAAATACAGCGATATGTTGCTAGAAACTGTCAACGTTCAGGAGGATAAATTGTCGCTGGAAACACTGATGGCAACGCTGCAAAGTGTCCCTAAAAATCACTGGAAACATTGCAATGTGTTGCTAAAAATCACTCGTTTTGGGGCACAAATGGCACTGAAATGCTGTGATTTGTTGTTAAAAAATACCCATGTTTGTGGGCAGAAACGCAGCAGCAAACGCCATAATGTATCACTAAAAAGTACCCATGTTAAGGCGCAAAAATCCCACTGGAAATACCTTGATGTGTCGCAAAAAAAAAACACCACATTTTGGGGCACAAGCGGCACTGAAAACACTGATGTGTCACTAAAAAACATCCACATATGGAGGCAGAAACGCTGCTGGAAATGCTGTGATGTGTTGTTAAAAATACCCATGTTTGGGGGCAGAAACGCCGCCAAAAACGCTGCGACATGTTACAAAAATCTCCCATGTTTAGAGGGCACAATCGCCACTGGAAATGGCATGATGTGTCTCGTAAAATCACCGTGTTTGTGGGCAACACTGCTGGAAATACCTTGATTTGTTGCTAAAAACCACCCACATTTTGGGGCAAAAGCGGCGCTGAAAACACTGATGTGTCACTAAAAAACATTCACATTTGGAGGCACAAATGCCCCTTGAAATTTCTCAATGTGTCGCTAAAATACACCCACAATTAGAGGCAGAAAAGCCACTGGAAATGCTGTGATGTGTTGTTAAAAATACCCATGTTTGGGGGCACAAACACCACTGGAAATGGCATGATGTATCGCCTAAAATCACCGTGTTTGTGGGCAACACGGCTGGAAATACCTTGATTTGTTGCTAAAAACCACCCACATTTGGAGGCACAAATGCCCCTTGAAATTTCTCAATGTGTAGCTAAAATACACCCATAATTAGAGGCAGAAACGCTGCCTGAAATGCTGTGATGTGTTGTTAAAAATCTCCCATGTTTAGAGGGCACAAACACCACTGGAAATGGCATGATGTATCGCCTAAAATCACCATGTTTGTGGGCAGTGCTGCTAGAAATACCTTGATGTGTCGCTAAAAAACATCCACATTCAGAGGCAAAAAACGCAGCTGGAAATGCTGTTATCTGTCGTTAAAAATACCCATGTTTGGGGGCAGAAACGCTGCCGAAAATGCTGCGACATGTTGCAAAAATCTCCCATGTTTAGAGGGCACAATCACCACTGGAAATACCTCAATGTGTCGCTAAAAATCATCCATGTTTCAGGGCACAAACACCACTGGAAATGGCATGATGTATCACGTAAAATCACCATGTTTGTGGGCAACACTGCTGGAAATACCTTGATTTGTTGCTAAAACTCACCTATGTTTAGGGGCACAAATGGCGCTGAAAACACTGGGATATGTCACCAAAAACATCCACGTTTGGAAGCACAAATGCTGCTGAAAATTTCTCAGTGTGTCACTAAAACACACCCATATTTAGGGGCACAGACGGCACTGGAAATGTTTTGATGTGTAGCTACAAAACACCCACGTCTGGGGGCTCAAACTTTGTTGGAAACACTTTGATGTCTGTAATTTGTAATTTTTTGGTCTTGGACAGTGGTCTGTCATCCACCCTCCCCTCCGCCCCCCGATGACAAAGTCAGCTCATATACATGTCGTCGCTTATCAAGAACTGTGGCCATTTAATGGCTGGTCCTGTGAGGTGTAATTATCTCGACTCAAGGATAAAGAACCAACTTTGTGGCACCAATTTTAGAAAGACCCTTTAGTTGTGCTCCTTTAATATTAATGGTTTCTGTCCAGCTGTCACATCTGTGTGTTAATGTACTTTCTGCTTTATGTCCACACAGTCAGACAGGACAACTGGATTCAGAGGACTTTCCTCACCGTGTTTTTCTTTCCCATATCCAGCGATTTCACAGGTGGCTCCAGCCTGGAGTCTCTGCTGAGGCGGCGGCAGACAGACAGTCCTCACAGACTTGGTCTCCTTTGCACACCTCCCATTTTTACCCTTCAGCTTCAGCAGGGCTGCGAGACATTTATCAAGGAATTACTGCTTCGGTTACAAAACGTCATCGACACTGAAGCATCTACAGACGTGTTCATACCGATGTCGTTGTTGTAGTCTCCATCACTGTTGTCGAACCCGTCGTGGACGATGACTTTTTCCACCTTGAATGTTTGCTCCACAGCGTGGTCCGTCTCATTCATCACGTTCTTCCCCAGGACGACGGAGAAGCGGCGCGGCTTGTTGTGGGAGCTGAAACACATGTACAAGAAAAGTCCAGTCAACTTGATGTCACTTTTATTCCCCTGCACCTGCTGCAGTTCCAGTAAGTGATGTCACTTCCTACCTGTCAGGGAAGCAGTGGGCAGCTGAGAGGACCCAGCAGTTTGAGATCAGACTCCCCCCGCAGCGGAAAATCTTCTCCTTGGTTTTGCTGCGCCAAAATATGGCAGCAACCCACGGGTGGGATTCCACAGTGGCAACTGTTCCTCCCACGATCTTCATGAGCTTTCTCCTGGAGCGCTGGCCACATGCGGACTCTGCAGCTGGGGGTGACACACAGTTAGAGACAGTCGAGGGGGAAAGTACAAAAATGCGGTACAGTGAGTTTAATGGTCGTGTCCGGATGGTTTCCCCAGATTCAAGTTCATGTTTTAAAGTGATCACTTCAACGTAAATCCTTATCTTCTCCTCACCCTAACTCCGTGTTTGTAGTGCATAAACCTGACCCGACCGTAACCACAGCGCCGTCACACCATAGAACGGCTAGACAAGAACATTTTGAAGCATCTCGCAGGGAAACCATCGAGCCACGACTGAGTTGAGTGAGGCAGAGAAGTTACCTGGCTCTGGCTCAGTGGGTGCAGGCGTGGGTGGGGCAGGAGCTACAAGATCAGAGGGTGTTTAACACTGATGAAACATGCAATTTGGTTCAGATTTTCTTGGAAGACTGTAAAGACAGAGAATGCACTCACGCGAGTCGGAACCACAACGTGGAATACCACAATACTCCCACATCAGCTTCTGTCTTTTCCACACGTAACACCACGGACGCCGTTTGTAGTGAAGATTCCTGAAAAACGCATCAACATTAATACTCCAGAATTAGAACAACTACCGACACATGTTTTACAGAGCCATGTAACAGCCGACATTTAAATGGAAATGAAACACTTCAAATAAATAACTTAAAATTAGGTTAAATGAAGAAGCAGTGACTAATCACAGGTTTAGTGGCAGAGGCAAAGGAGTGCACCAAGTGTTGCCCTAAATCTCCAAGCCCGCTATCCACCACTGGGCTCGCCATGGCGGAGTGAAGCATATCTCTGGTCTGTTCTACAAGAGACCCGTAGTGTGTTGAAGGTCTTCCAAGAGAACTTGAGCCGTTCACATAACTACACTGAGAACGCTAAGAGGAAGACTGTGACCGCCGTGGATGTGACATAAGCTCTGAAGAGCAGGGACACACTCTGTACGGCTTCGGTGGGTAAATAGACCCGTCTGTAATTAAAATCATATAAAGTTATCTTAAAGTTGTTTTTGTCTTGAAAACATATCTAATAGGTCACACAATATTAGGCTCTAAAATATGCTGTTAATGAATTTATTTATTTATTTATATATTTGGCATATTTCCCATCAGACATTTTGGCTGTTGATATTTTCATTTACTAGACGACAACACGTGATACCAGCCAAAAGTTAGCACATACCGGCTAACGTGAACTCTGCTCTACGGCCGATATCTCCAGCACTCTGCAACTCACACCAAAACTATCTAGACTGATAAACAGCACCACAGGTACTTTGAAACCGACAGCATGGTTTCTCAATCAGCTTCTTTCTATGAGTATTGCCACATTTCAAACAGCTACCAAACTTAGATTTTAATTGTTACACAATTAGTAATGAATATAATGTTATAAATAAATACATGAAATGGAATACAATAAGATCACTTGGAAATAGTAAGTGTTGTGTTCTCATTACTTTAGAATGAGCTGTTTTTATCTACAGAGGAAGCAGGTTTTCATCTACGGAGATCGCCAAACACTGGCTCAAGCTAGGGACATCACATTTTTTGCGTTTTCACATTGGCCACAGCAGGTAGAAGCCCCTTCGCAATGGAGGCTCTGGAAAAAAATTGATTTCTAATGTGAAACTGCTTCATTCAGTGTTTTTACAGGTTTAAAACAACAGGGAACAGTGTGTACACTACACACAAAATGAGGCCTGAAAGAGGCGTACGCCACTCAGAATTGCCAGGTGGGAAATGTAGGATTATCGTACCAGAGACTCAAAATTATCATATTTTGAGGGAAATTATCATACATGCGTCGTAACCAAAATAACAATCCTACTGATGCGCTATAGGCAAATATAGTCACTCTAGTGTTTACTTTTTTGGTTTATTTTTTTCCATTTTCCTTGCTTCTGTTTTTCCTCTTCTTCTTCTGTTCTGAATCTCATTCTCGCTCGACTTCCTGACGGGTCCTAGCGCCTCATGGGGCGGGTACAGCTGACCATTCAGCCAATCGTGCTCATTGTTCAGAGACAAACATCACCCGTATCTCACGCTAAGCAAAGTGCGATTGGCTGGAAACATGTCACATGGGAACAGATGCCTTCAGGGCCCACAGAAAAACTCTGGCATACTGATTACAACCACACATTCATGAAGTGGATAAATTATCGTACATTTGGCCTTTTTTCCGGGATTATTGATTGTACATCGTACAGAGGGCCAAATTATCGTACAAATACAATAATTATCGTACACCTGGCAACACTGACGTCACTTCCCACACAGAAGTTGTGATCTATAAAAACAGACTTGATGGGAGAAACTTGGACACATTCTTACCAACATTTTGGAGACAGGAAATTGGCGACACAGATGGTGAGGTGGAGCCTGATTGCAGAAATTGTCAAATATTTTTTGGTGCATGCCAATTTTGGCTTTTGTTTGTACATGCATTTTAGTGTGGATCCTATACATTGTTTGTTTTAGAAAAGAGGAGATCTCTGTGGATAATTCTGCGCCTGGTAAGTGCATCTTGAACATCTGGATCTTAAGTCATCAGAGAAAAAAGGTGAGCACAAGTAAGCCAGTGAAGGCTAAAGGTCTGTCTCTGACAAACAGTGCTGTCTTTACAGGTTTAAATCACCTGGTCTGTTTGTTTTGGAGAGGAAGAGACCTCTGCAGATAATTCGTTTCTCTCGAAAAACCTCCATAACGATGAACAGAGAAGGAATTTTAAACAGGAGAAGTTTAGGCTGTTTGCAATGTGCAATCCTCACCACTAGATGCCACTAAATCCCCTCAGTCCTTCACACTGTTCCTTTAAAGTTCAGTGAGTAAATGTTTATTTGCTACTGTCTCCATCATGTGAGCTACCGCCACCCATACAGTAAGTGTTTCAATTCAAATCCATCTAAGTAGAGCTGAATATCTACAGGCTGTATCTTACCTGCAGTAGTTGTGCCTCCCTGAGTTGACATCTGAAGACATGTACCGCTGCCTGGTGTCTGAGTCCCACTCCACACATGTTCGTCCACTCTCTGATTTGGACACTTTGCCTCTGTAGTACAGTCCAACACCATCGTAACATTCACCACCTGTCACTGGAGACACAGCAGCAGCAGGAGCTTTCTTTACAAATGTAAAAACAAAAAGAAAATTGGTTTGTTTGTTCAGGTTTGTACCTGTCTCACAGATTGTCCCCTCGAAACCGTCAGGACACAAACAGAACATGTGTTCCCCAGTGGTCAAGGACGGGATGGACCTGCCTCCGTTAAGACAGATCCCTGCTGGAGAAAAATGAGATGATAGAGTTCAACACAGCCTGGTGTGAATGTAAAGGGCCAGAGAGCACTGACGAATGTAGAGTTTCTCACCTGAACCTTCAAAGGAGGAGGAGAAGGAAGAGGAAAAAGAGGACAAAGAGGAAGAGGATGAAGAAGAGGAGGATGAAGAGGAAAAAGAGGACAAAGAGGAGCTGGGTGACGAGGAGCCGGAGGAAGAGAAGAAAGAAAATGCCATCCCTCTTTTTTCTTTCAATGAGCCCTGAAAGTACAAAAAAAAAGTCTGATGAATCTCATGAAATTAAATTCAACATTTAAGTCCAGGTAATAAAAACTGTCCTCACAGCGTCAGTCGTCGTCAGAGCCGCCAGGGTGCAGATTAAAACACCCAAACCTGTGGTCGCTGTCATGTTGCCTCGCTGCCTCACTGCACAGATTGAAATCCCAGCAGCATGAGCGAGCCTGCAGAGAGCTGTGCGGGAACGTCCTCAGGGTGACTCTGTTTTGTCTGTGGTGTGCAGGGAGGAGGGAGGGCTCTGATTGGCTGAGGAGCTCCTCTCTGATTTGGTGTGAAGAAATGTGTGCAGGGCGAGTGGATGAGTAAGACGTGTTAATCCAGGAGGTATATCGATAAGTGTGGTATGTCTGAAGCTCAGCTGTCAGGTTGGACACACAGCTGTTTGTGTGGTGAATTTAACAGAATCTGATGAAGTAATAAAACACAGTGACACATATTTACGACTGTCTGGACACATAAACCTGCAGCATGTTGGCGTCCACACCCAGTGACACCACAACAACACCAGTTGGGTAACTGGTATGATGTGCTAATACTGACCGCATGAAGACGAAATGGTTTCAGTCCTCACAGGTCTGTGTGTGACGTAAAATCTTACCAAGTGTGTGTTCAGGTATTTCCAAAGAAAAACACTGTTCAAGAGACCTGGGCGGTATCAAGGTATTACACCCTATCGTTTACTGGAACTTAGACTTCATTCTGCTTCACTCAGCCCTGTTGTCCACGTTTGTGGACACTTTTTTGTGCCATCTAGTAGCAGTAAGAGCAGAATACACTGATCCATGTAAAAACAAGATGGCAGCCATCTCTGCTGAGTCAGTCTGCAGCTGATCCCAACACAAAAGAGGACAAGGTCCAAAACCTGATCACAACAACAGTAACAAGGATTTAATAGGGACATACTCATCTGAGGACATTGGGACTGAATTATCGTCTCGTTTGAGGACATTGGGACTTTATTGTTGTTTCATTTGAGGACACTGTGACTTCATTGTTGTCTCGTTTGAGGACATTGGGACTTTATTATCGTCTCGTTTGAGGACATTGGGACTTAATTATCGTCTCGTTTGAGGACATTGGGACTTAATTATCGTCTCATTTGAGGACATTGGGACTTAATTATCGTCTCGTTTGAGGACATTGGGACTTTATTGTTGTGTCATCTGAGGACATTGGGACTTGATTATCGTCTCGTTTGAGGACACTGGGACTTTATTGTTGTGTCATCTGAGGACATTGGGACTTTATTATCGTCTCGTTTGAGGACATTGGGACTTAATTATCGTCTCGTTTGAGGACATTGGGACTTAATTATCGTCTCGTTTGAGGACATTGGGACTTAATTATCGTCTCGTTTGAGGACATTGGGACTTAATTATCGTCTCGTTTGAGGACATTGGGACTTAATTATCGTCTCGTTTGAGGACATTGGGACTTAATTATCGTCTCGTTTGAGGACATTGGGACTTAATTATCGTCTCGTTTGAGGACATTGGGACTTAATTATCGTCTCGTTTGAGGACATTGGGACTTAATTATCGTCTCGTTTGAGGACATTGGGACTTAATTATCGTCTCGTTTGAGGACATTGGGACTTAATTATCGTCTCGTTTGAGGACATTGGGACTTAATTATCGTCTCGTTTGAGGACATTGGGACTTAATTATCGTCTCGTTTGAGGACATTGGGACTTAATTATCGTCTCGTTTGAGGACATTGGGACTTTATTATCGTCTCGTTTGAGGACATTGGGACTTTATTATCGTCTCGTTTGAGGACATTGGGACTTAGTTCTCGTTGACAGTGTTTAGTTTTTTATACTTACCAGCTACTGATCCCAAATAGCTCAGAGACATGGGCACCAAACAGAAGTTTGGTTCACAGGAGGATATTTCAGAGCATTTAGAAATCCTGACGGTATGATTTTAATACAGTCAAAAGTATTTACACTTCTCTTTCTATTAAACTGATACAGAGATGCTGTATTGAGGATATGTAGTGTAGTGCACAGCACGCTCCACTAGAGGTCAGTCTCTGCTGGTGGGACATGCAGCTGAGCTGGGAGTGCTGGGGATAACGTTACAGGACTGGTAAAAAAGAAAAACCTGCTCTGCCCCTGTTTGGAAGTATTTGGGGTTTAATCACGATGATAAATTTGAGCCAGTGAACACGGACGTGCTGTACACAGCAGCATGCAGTGAACCAAATGTTGTTACGCAGGAATCCAGGTGCAGTACAGACCGTTAGCTAACAAGACGATGAACATGACAGCATTAAAGTGCAATGAAGTGCATTGTGAAACAATAATATAAATAGGTGAGTGCAGTGGAATAAATATTGCTTAGCATATCAGAGTATATTAAATCCATACGTAGCTCACCACCTGCTAACGTAACGTAACCCCTCACAGCTGCTGTTCTGTTGGTTCCTACAAACATCTCCACACACCCACCACACATTTAAACCCAGAGAGACTTGTCTGAGTCGACTAACTCATATTAGAGACACAGCGTTAGAGGCTGGACGATGTCATACATTTAGTTAGTAGTTGTGACAAACAGCTGACTCTGAAACAAAGCAAATCTGAATTTGACTGAAAAATGTTGAAGAAATTTGTTCACGTATCGCTTCATTTTAATTGTTTTATCATTGATGGTGATGCTGCTCATCATTATTATTATTATTATTATTATTAGTATCGTTATTATTATTTTCATTATTATTATTATTGTTATTATTATTATTTTCATTATTATTATCATTATAGCAGCAGGTGAATATTTTAACTATAAAACCAGTGTTATAAATTCTCTTTTTTTCATATTAATTCAGTATTTTCTTCTATCAGCAGTTTGCTGTCACACAGGCTTCTTTTTTCTTTGAAACTTAAAACACTTAAAAAAAAAACCAACACTTTAATTTAAACTAAAACCAAAATAATAATTAAAGACATTTAAAGTTTATTAGAAACACTGATGACAGCTGTGTTGAAGCCTCTGATGGATTCACTGGGTGTCACTGTTGCTCTGTGAACATCAGAGCTCATTTATCCTGACTGTACCTGAAGTATCATGATAGGTCCATCCACTGTGTGACGTCACATGTTGTAAGAATCTGTACCTGGAGATTAGAAAATAAAACCACCATTAACTTCTTTTAATATTGATATTGATTGATGTTGATTAATATGACATAAGGTAATATGATGATGATGATATAATTGTTTCACATCTTCACACGTCACATCTGACTCATTGTTGATTATAAATGAAGTCGCTTTGAACCAATGAGTAACGTTAATGAAAGTAAATATGTACTTAAGGATCCCGGAAGTCGCCCAGTCTGGATCCTGCTTGGTTTATGCTGCCTTCAGGGGCCGTCGGAATTTATACCTCTCTGAAGCAGACGTAGAACCACAGAGTTTAACACAAATACGGTGTGTAACGTTATTTCAGGTCATACTTAAAGAAACAGTAACACAATATGAATTCAATTCCTTATTAAAAAACCTTTTATTCATTTTAACTGAATTTTTTTTTAATCATTTTTTACTTCAGATCTATTTGTTTGTTGTACTGTCTTTTATCCATCTATACCTCAGTGTTAGTAAATGTAATTTAATCTCTTTACTGTAATTTACCTGATTGTAATTAATTGAAATGCTGATTTATTTATTTTTTATTTTGTTTTTCTCCTGTAAAGCACTTTATAAATTAGTTTTGAAGGGTACTAACCTACATAAATAATCATCAATCATTATTGTTATTATATTATTTTATTATTGTATTATTTCTATGACTCTGTGTAGATCTGAATTATTCTGAGGCTGTTTTTATTCCTTTATTTTCATAGCTTGTTTTCTTTTATTTTGTGAGTTTGTTGTGGAGCTCAGTATCATGTGTTTTGTTTATTTGAGAATATATGAAGTAGGTCAGTATATTGGCCTATTGAAATTAAATAAACATACAAAAAAAAATGATTATTTACACGTTGCATTTGAACATTTTTTTCCTTTATGTTTCACATTTGCAGCACAAGAGCATCAAATGGTTGTTTTTGTTGTTGATGTTTTTAATAAACACAACCACAATTGTTTTATTTTATTTTTTAAAATGTTACTCATGTATCTAGTTATTCTATTTTATTGTGTTTTAAATGTTATTTATTTAGTTATTCTATTTTATTTTATTATATTTTTTAAATGTTATTCATTTATGTAGTTATTTTATTTTATTATTTTATTTTTTAAATGTTACTCATTTCTCTAGTTATTCTATTTTAATTGTGTTTTAAATGTTATTCATTTATTTAGTTATTTTATGTTATTTAATTTTTTAAATTGTATTCATTGATTTTATATTATATTTTATATTTTATTTCTGTATTTATTTATTTTTCTTTTCCCCATTTTCTTTGGATATAAATTTCTTCTCATCTAGAAAAATGTATGTATTATTCCCCGTCATATCTGTCTTTGATTAATAATAATGTGTGGTATATTCATGGTTTGTGAGCCACTCTATGGGCAGGTTGACCTTTTTTGGTGATGGGTTGGTGGGTTTGAATATCATTAAAAAAATTGTAAATCATTAAAAACAATAAACAGCCACAAAGTCAGAACGACCTCAGCTACAACCTGAAAAACAGCAGCAGCTATTTCTGACGTACATTCTCTTGTGCGTGTAGTTTCCGAGCGGCCCATGAACGCATCCTGAGCGCAGAGCGGCTGTCAGATGATGAGGAGATTATCCTCCTTCACTCAGACTCAGTGTTAACACGGATCCAGACGGGCTGCAGGTGCTTTGGGACACAACATGGGAAACGCCGACACCAAGCTTCACTTCAGGAAAGCGGTGATTCAGCTCACAACTAAAACTCAGGTGAGTTTTTACATCTAAACTCTGAGGAAACACAGAAACACGGTGAGCGCGTCGCTTTGTGGGTTAAACTGAGGCTGTGGAGATAAAGTCAAAGTGCCAGATGGTGGAGTCAACTGCTGCCCAGATGACACAGAGCCGACAGGACGACACTGCAGCCACTTTATTCATGAGGGTTTACAGACAACACACAGAAACATCTCCTGAAATATTCACATTATTCTCAGTATTGTAGAATTACTGGTGATTTTCCTGAACATTTGTTTCTGTTTAAAAACACTGTAAACAGTCAGTTGGGCCTTTGATGACCTCACTGCTCCACATGACGTGTTTATTTTGCAACATGTGACTTTAAACATGTTGAATTTAGTCAGTTTCACCTGCAGCAGCAGACATGTCTCCCTGGCAGGTGCATTTAAGGTGGAACTAACCAGATAAAGTGGATCTGAATGTACAGGAGCTGCTGAATGTTGTGATAATAGGTTCATCTCTGGAGTCACTTCCCAAACAATATTTAATATTTGTTCATACTAGTGACCCTCAGTGTCTTTGGGTTTGGGAGGAGACATTTAAAGTTGGCGCTTTGGGCATTTTTGAAAACTAATTTCTGACATTTTAAAACAAATTAACTGACAGATGAACTGAAAATGAAAAGTATCATTAGCTGCTGCCTTAAAGTGGGTTTTTACAATCTTACATCAACTCCTCATGGTGTCAGAACCTTATGTGTGCAGGTTTTAAAATCTGAAAGTAAAACTTAAAGGTCCAGTGTGTCAGATTTAGGGACATTTCATGGCGTCTGGTGAGGACTGCAGATTGTAACCAGCTGACACATCTCCTGATTAGAATCCTTTCAGTGTTCAGGAGGTTTTTACCTGTGGCTGAATTATCCACAGAGGTCTCTTCGTCTCCAAAACAAAAGCACCAAGTCATTAAAGGGATAGTGCACCCAAAACTGAAAATTCAGCCATTATCTCCTCACCCATATGCCGAGGGAGGCTCAGGTGAAGTTTTAGAGTCCTCACATCACTTGCAGAGATCCAAGGGGAGAGGAGGTAGCAACACAACTCCACCTAATGGAGGCTGACGGCGCCCCAGATTCAAACGTCCAAAAACACATCATTGAAACCACAAAATATCTCCATACTGCTCGTCCATAGTGATCCAAGTGTCCTGAAGCCCCGACATAAAAAGTTGTTTGGAAAAACCTCATTTGAACTCTGTTTTTAGCCTCATTGTAGCTACTCTCGCCACCAGACAATCAGAGATCTCCGCCTTCTGATAGTCTGGGGACACTCCTTTCTAAAGTGTGTTTAACACACCGCAGAAAACGGCCAGCAACAAAGCAACGCTTCTTGCATTTTTTAAAAGGACACGCCCTCCCAGAAATGTGTGCTCCCCCTTTTCTCATCCGAGCTTGAAAATGGATGCTGAGAGATTTAACTCCGTTTTATCAAACGTGTGCTGAGTCCACAAGATTGTGGAAATGAAGGACTTACAGCGACTTGAGCCATTTTGTACCGCTACACGTGTTTCTAGTCAGACTATGTTTATGAGCACAAGAGTTTAGCGAGCCACCGAAGGACCGCCCTGTGGATTTACTATTGGTTCTGCAACGTAGGGAGTTTTTTTAAACTCTGAAATTGTATCCGCCCATCTAAACACAAAATCAGGGAGAAAGTCATCAGTCTTTAGTTAAGCAAAGCGTCTAAAGACTGACTTGTGAGTCTACATTGTAGTCTGCAGCTCTGACTGCCTCTCTGGGCACCGCGCTCACGTGTGCGCGCTTGCTCGAGACCGTGAGACATGGGCACCGCCTTCATGTGTGTTCACATGCTGTCGCTGGTCTCGCGCAAGCAAAAGCAGTATGGAGATATTTTGTGGTTTCAATGATGTGTTTTTGGACGTTTGAATCTGAGGCGCCGTCAGCCTCCATTAGGTGGAGTTGTGTTGCTACCTCCTCTCCCCTTGGATCTCTGCAAGTGATGTGAGGACTCTAAAACTTCACCTGAGCCTCCCTCGGCATATGGGTGAGAAGATAATGGCTGAATTTACATTTTTGGGTGCACTATCCCTTTAGAACCAGTAATTATGGTTTTTACCATGAGCTAAAATGATCCGCAGAGGTCTCTTCGTCTCCAAAACAGATGGACCAAGTGATTTATACCAGTAAAAAACACTAAATAGAGCAATCTCACATTAAAAATCAGTGTTTTTCCAGCACTAAGAATACAAATTAACATGAAATGTAAATACTCAAGTACAAGTAGCTGAAAATTATATTTAAATACAGCACTTGAGTGAATGTGCTGAGGCGTGAACACAACATAATGTGAGAGAAAAGCTAATATTTAGAGAGTGATAATTCAAATTAAAGTTTTATCTGACTTTATTTAGGAGCTGTGTTATAGATTATATATTTAATAATAGCTGCAGAATGACAGCTGCTGTGCTCATGTGGAGCTCAGTGACACACTGATGTGGCTGCTGTCGTCTGAGGTCATGTTAAACACAATCAAACATACTGTGTGTCCTCTCCTGCAGCCCGTAGAAGCCACAGACGACGCCTTCTGGGATCAGTTCTGGGCCGACACCTCCACCACCGTCCAGGATGTCTTCGCTCTGGTGCCGGCGGCCGAGATCAGAGCCGTCAGAGAGGAGTCTCCGTCCAACCTGGCAACCCTCTGCTACAAGGTAAGCTGCGTCTGTGAGGACGGGTGTTGGTCCTGGATACAGTCAGAGTCAGAGGAATGCTGCTGTTTGTTGTTCCCACACTATAAACATTACACTCATCAGTGTTTGGAAAGGTCAAAGGTCATTTGAGTGAAGCAGATGAGATTTTTGTAGACCTGAAATGTTCAACAGAAGAGACAGCGAGACGTGAGGTGACACAGTTCTTGAAACAACAGATTTATAGTCGTTATAAAACCATCTTGAATACCTGAGCAGGTGCTCACTGAGTGTCATCAAACATCACGAAATGTTTAAGACATTTCTTCATCAGTCTAAAAACTGGTTTCATAGGTGAGTAAACACATGGCAGGTGCCAATAACAGAACAAGGTAAATGGACATTTTTACTTATATTGTAGACATATAATGTAAATGTCTTGTGCCTCATTTTAGACGCATTTCCCAAAATCCAGCCTGTTATATTTAATATCTTTACAAACTTAGAGAAACTGCTCAAAGGAAACACAACTAGAGTTTAAGACAAACTGTGTGTCTGAGCAGCATGAGTTGTAATGACTGACTCACTGGTGGCTCAGCGAGGATCCCTGTTTTATCTGTCGGTGAAAACCAAAACTGAGCAAACAAATATCATCTTTCTTCATGGGTTCAGACACCTCAGCTTCCTCAGACTCATGCTCCCTGAACACACTGGATTTTCTCAGATATGTATCGTCACCACCAAGTCTCAGAGATACATTTCATGATTTCTACAGGACAATATGTGTTGGAAAACTGCTTAAAGGGAAATAAAGTATTGTCCCATGTTCTTGTGTCTGAGTGACCAAAGGGAACTAATTCTGAAATTGGTCCAGTATTGAGAGAGAGCAGCGACACAGGCTGCAATATAAACACTCACAAATTTATATCCACTGAAACTGTTCGTTTTTGCCACTGACAGGCTCAGATTGTTATTTTAAGTGTCTGACAACATTAATGGAAAGGATCCCTACAGAGATAGACGTTTTGTTTAATCAGAAACTGCCCCCAAACCTGCCAGACTCCTTTCAAATAAACAGTCATTTTATCATTGTCAATAGACTTCATTTAAAGTCTACAGAAACAAATTAAAACTCTTTAAAAAATGTCTTGATTTGTGTTTCCACTTTTCCAACAATCACCAACTCTGGTTTGTTGAAATAAACCCTAAATCCACCACATTAGATGTGAGAACATGCTGCCTCTATACACAGTAAGATTACTGTTTATTTAAATGGAGTCTGGTGGATTTGACACAGGCAATTCCAGGGCTGTTTCTGGTCAAACAAGAAGAACCGTACTCTTCAACAAAAAGGTCTATCTCTGTGGGGATCCTTTTAGTGTTGTGTCGTTCGCGAACAAATCATTCAAAATATAGCTAGGAGTCAAGCCACATGAACACAATCACACACCTCCCCATTGTTTTAACAGACTTAGTTTCCAGATAAACAAACTTAAAACATGAGGCTGGCCAGTAATGAGACTTACCAGTGCAGGGCAGATGCAGATGCAGCTGCAGCTCAGCCGTGTATCAGTTCAGTGAGTCCGAACTACGCAGTACACAGTCAGGGCTCCTCCCACCAAGCACTGAACGATTCAGTGAACAAATCTTTTGAACGAATCTTTTTAATGAACTGATTCTAGTGATTCAGTAACGTCTAAAGAACTGCTTTGCTCGTCACTAGATCCTTTCCATAATGTTGTCAGGCACTTTGAAGAACAATCTGAGCCTTTCAGTGACAAAAACAAACACTTTTAATGGACATGAACTGACGGTGCAAACATCCCCTGAGTGGTTACATTGCAGCCTGCGTGGCAGCTACTGAGTGCAGCGCTCTCTACAATACTGGACCAGTTTCAAAAACCGTCTCCATCAGTCACTGAAACACAAGGACATGGAAAAACACAGGCTGAAAAATACTGAAGGTCCCCTTTAAGGTTGGTGGTGCAGGACAGAGAGGATATAAAGGTTCAAAATGGAATCTTATTGAACAGTAAAGTAAATCTGTGGACTTAAAATCATGATTTTGAATGAATTCAAAGCATTAAAGTCTTAAAGTCTTCCTCGTGTTTTCCCGCCAGGCAGTGGAGAGGTTGGTCCAGGGTGCAGACTCCGGCTGCCCCTCAGAGAAAGAGCGTCAGATCGTCCTGAACTGCACCCGCCTGCTCACCCGCATCCTGCCCTACATCTTTGAGGACGCCGACTGGAGAGGCTTCTTCTGGTCCACCGTGCCAGGAGCCGGCAGAGCAGGGGTACGACTCCGACACTAAATCTATTACAGGAAGTAAAGGAGAGAGAAACACTCTTATGTAGCTTTGCACTCTGGTTTCCTGTTTGACGCCATGATCAGATCAGAGAACATGAGGAGTGTGAAGCTGCAGCTCTGTGAAGTCTTGAGGCTGTAAACTGTGTCAGTGGACCGTTAATGAGTTCACACTAAAGAGTTCCTGATGCTGTTCAGTCCTGTGAGTGGGCTGTGATAGGGAGGGAGTGTTTTAATGCAAGTTAAATTACAAACCAGTCTCCGTGTGTGTGTGTGTTTGTGTCATATTAGTGGTATTTTACTGTAAGGCCCGAGGCTGTCTTTTTCTTGTCATGTCTCATTTTCTAAATTACTGTTTGAATTATTTAATTGACAGGAAGTCATTCACTGACAGTTACAGGCGGAGCTATTTGCAGTTTAATGTGAAAACAAAGTGGTTGATGACATCACCATGTCAACACAGCCTCAGGCAAAACAAAGACAGGAAAGAAAATCCTGTATTTTTTCCCCATTTAAAGAACCAGTTCACCAAAATAACACAGACAAAAACAAAACATGATTTTGTTCCCCAAAGGTATTAAAAAAAACAAAAGTAGCCAGGGGTGGAGCCTATCTCAGCTGACATGGGTGAGAGGCAGGGTTCACCCTGGACAGGGCTGACACACAAGCCCTTTTTAAACAGGAGTTGTGCAAATTTGCAGGAAAGCCCAATCAGTGTTTTTTCAGCATTGGCAGTATAAAAACAAAATCGGGGAGTGCAGCAAAATGCCGCCTACCTACTTTTGTTTATACAGAATGTGCCTTTTTCGGGGCAATGGGGGGCGTGAGCAAGTAACAAAACGTGTAGCTCAGCGTGTGACGTAAACAGTGACGTGGGAGGGAAGCCGCGGCTGGTCAGTCCTTCGGCGATTCTCTCGTAAGTCGGCCCGTTCTTCACCGTCCCCGTCATCTGACGGTTAATGGCCTCTTCGTTTGCGAGGACAAGGAGGGCGCGCAATTCCTTGTCTCCCCAGTTGCTCATCTTTACAGTGTCTGTCAGGTTTGTGTTTCCCTCTTGCTACTAGCTGCTCGCTAATTCCTGCTATCAGCTGTTTCCTGTTTATCCACCGCCAGTGGCTCGCACGTGCGGCGTCATCAACAGCTCCTCCCACAAGTCATCAACAGCCCCTCCCGTTGCAGAAGGCCGCCTCGGTCTGTTTAAACTAAAAGGGTTCCACCAATATGTCTACCCTACGAGGCGGAAAATTGGGCACCTCGGATCAACTCGCCAATCCAGCTCTGTGTGTCTAAACGCTCGCAGCTTGCCGGCAAAACGGCCCAACATTCACCGAAAATCTGGCAGTGTAAAAGGGGCTATAGAGACAGAAAAAAATGACCTGCTGGTGGCGCTAGAGGAAAAGTCAGAGGATCATCTATGTTGGTAGGATCTATCCTCAGGGGAACATGAATTTCTGTACAAAATCATCACCCTAATCCTCCTAACAGGTGTTGAGATATTTAAGATCATATTAAAAAAAATCACAACTCAGTGTCCACTTTTTCCAGAACTTTGAGATGTGATTAAAAGTTTTTAAAAAAGCCAGTAAGTGAACCTTGAGTTGTAGTCTGTTTTTGTCAAACTATTATTTTCAAAGTAAAGTCTGAAATTTATATTTTAATGGGGATATTATTTCTGTAAAGAGGCGTTTTTATTTCTGCCAGGTGTTTGGTCATGTGTGAGTGTGTGTATCCATCTGTCCGCAAACTACTGGACTAAACAGCCTAATATTTTGTGTGCACATTTATAACTGTATGCTCAAGAGCCTCTTTATTAGCTTCTTTCTTTTTATTGACTGTTTTATGTCGTCATTGACTGCAGACTCCTCACCCCTCTTAACTGGCCAGTAGGACGGCTCAAAACAACACGCCTTACTGTTACAGGACACATTTTGGAAGTCGTCCAGACTCAAAGTCTGACATCCATAGAAAAGTTTAGAAAAGGAGCATCTGCAGATTAAATCCATACCTGATATGTTAGGATTTACTAAAGTTAGGCATAATCTGAGGGATGTTTTTGTTATCTTCACCGCCATCTTGACTGAGGGAGGTGAAGGGCTGTCACATAGATAAGGAGCATTTTGTTAGCATCTGGGATGGATCTAAAACACAGTGCAGCACGTCTGCTGGACTTACAAGAATTGTCTAGTATGGCCACGATCGACTCGGGCAGCCGTCTGGCAGAGATCTACGCTTTACTGAGTGAGCTTCTGTTGTTGTTATTGGGATGTTTCAATGCTTTAATCACCAAAAATTAAAGGCACCATTCAGTGTAAGCACAGCTTTAAATTTTAATTTGCAGAAACCTCAGCAGTGGAGGCCTCATTACTTAAAACTTGTGATGTGGCTCGACTGATCCTTAAAAAAAGGCTTTATTTTGCATCTTTAATTATATTTATTGGTTTATTTTAGAATAAATACAATAGTTTGAAGGAAATCATGAGATTTTCCTCCAGCCTAATTCTCAGAGGTGGATGTATGGACACTGAGACGACCTGCAGGACCATGAAGCAGCAGACAGAGGAGTCCTGTCTCGTAGAGTTTAATCTGTCAGCAGCCTCTCAGCTATGCAGACATCAGAGGATTTTAGGCCCTTTGAGATAAGCACGTATAATAATCCACAGCAGTTAGAAGTGATGGTGACTCTCAGAGCAGAATCTGGACTGTAGGATGAGACTGTTGCTGTTGTCGAGGTCACTGTCCGAAACCAACCCCCTCCCCCCTCCACCTCCTGACGGCTGCTGGTTCTCTGGTTACCTGGTCGGCAGGGGACCCACCGTACAAACACTGCCCATATTGTACCTCCCCCTCCTCCTGGCCAGCGGTTGAATTAAGGAGGGATTGAATGTCCCTTAATTAAAGTGTGGGACTGGAGTCAAACGCAGAGCTGCAGCAGTTGGAACAGACTGATGGGCTGTTTGTGGTCGGATGAATTCAGTCTGTGGTTCTGAAAGGAAGAAAAGAAACGAGTGAAACACGACATTTTGATTTGTACTGTATGAACTCAACTACTCATAATGGCCAATACAGCCGTACAGAGTGTGAACACTAACATCCAGTAACGCATGAATTCCAGTCACGATGCTACATGTGTTTATTTCTGAGTCTGTAGCATTGACTGTATAAAATAATGGATGTACCATGATGTCATCAGCTGGTTTGTAACCTCAAATTTACCTCAAATGGCATTTCGGCCATCGCCATCTTGGATTTTTGGAGCCAGTAGTGACCATATATGGACAAGAGGATGGAGTTAGCCCAAACGTTCGCTGCTAGCTTGGTTAGGTTAGCATGTTGCATTTACAGTCAGTGGTTAACTGTGATGATGCTAGTGCTAATTTTTGTACAAGAAAAACCGAACATCCGACTCTTCAGAGGGTCTTTTAGTAAAATCAAAGACGTTACTTTAAAAAACTAAAAACAATCTTGTGTTTAATGTGAACACAAATGGGGGGTTATGTGTGGCACTAATATATTGAGTCTACAATGTCAGATGAACGTGACGTCTCCTCACTTGTCTTTATCCTCCAGCGTTTGGACGAAGATGGCGATGTGGATGAAGCACGGCCGCTGGCTGAGTCGCTGCTGCTCGCCATCGCCGACCTCCTGTTCTGTCCAGATTTCACCGCTCAGAGCCACAAGAAGAGCAGCACGGTGAGTCTACATTGTACTGAGGTTCATGTGTGGCCTGATTATCCCACAGTGCAGCTGGAGGCAAACACCTGCCAATATTCAGCGTCTAATTAAGGAGACTAACCTATGAGCTTTGCCTCAGGTTCAGACGTTTCTGCAGCAGAACCAGAGTTAAAGGAGTAGTTCAACATTTTGTGACATATTTGCCTGTTTTAACAAGAGTGAAATGAGAAGATGGACATCAATGTCTGTGAGTTAAGTACAGAGCTGGAGTCTTGTTAGCCTAGCTTAGCAACAAGATTGAAAGCAGGGGCAAACTGCTAGCCGGGCTATGTCCAATATTTTCTGTAAATTTTAGACATGTTAGCAGGAGTATTATTTAACTTTGGATGGAGTTAGACAGGCTAGCTGTTCCCACCTGCCTCCAGTGTTTATGCTAAGCTAGGCTAACCACAACCTGACTCCAGCTTCTTTGTATTTAAGGGGACCTGTTGTGCTCATTTTTCGGGTTCATGCTCATCTTTTGGATTTGTGTACATGCTTTAATGTTATAAAACACTGCATTGTCCTCATACTGTCTGTGTTGGAACACCTGTGTTTACTCTCTGTCTGAGACACTCCATTTTGGCACCTGTCTATTTAAGCCCCTCCCCCCAAAAATCTCAGTCTCCTCTGATTGGTCAGTGTTTGCAGGTCTCATGTATCTTGGTGTTAAACACAAGAGGACATGTTCCAGCAGATATCTGATCCAATATCTGAGAGAATAACTTAACAACACCGGCAACCAAGATTGCATGTTCTCTTAGGGGGCGATCACACAGAAATGAGACGCTAGAGATGTGGACGCTTCAAAGATGCTTGAAACGCTGGAAGCGCTTATTCAATGCGCGCTAGACAAAAAAAAATAGCAAGGAGCACCTGTGGAGCGGGGGTGCATGCACAACACACACACACACCTCCTGTCATCTCCCTATGTCTCCCCTTGAATATAGTGTTTCCCTCAAAGACAGTAGAGTCCGTACTAACTTACATGAAACTATCACGAGCTATCAAATCAAATCCAACTTTGTTTATATAGCACTTTTCATACATAAAAATGCAGCACAAAAACTGTGAACTACGAAATAAGGTCACCAGCCCTCTCACATATCCCACTGTCTGAAAGTTAACTAGCTGCTACGACGATATCGTCGTCGTCAATTACACTGTACTCACCAGACAAATTCGTTGCGCTGCTCGCACAGCTCCATGCGTGTCCCCTCCTGTGTTAGTTCGAGTACTGAGGTGTGCATGTGTTGTATAATTCTTAAAAATCAAATATTGTCAGGATAAATTTCTCGTCTTCGGATTGCATTGTGTTGTGTGTCGCTCGTAACTGCCGTAACTGCCACAACAAAACAGGAAGGAGGATTTGATTGGCTGCCTGGGCCAATGACGACAATGACGAATGGTGCTACTGGTGTCTGATACTCAAAAAGTTGAAAATATTTTAACTTTTCAGCGTCTATGCGCGTCTAAAAAGAAGCATCTACAAAAACGTGCGTCTAAAAAGACGCTTGAACACTGGTCAGACACGGCGTATCATAGGAAAACAATGATTTTACTGGCGTCGCGTTTCTAGCATTTCATCTGGGTGTGATCGCTCCCTTAAAGTTAGCATGTAGCTACATGTACGTTAGCAGTGAACTTGCAGGCAGCGAAAAGAGTGCTGCCGGAATGAGTCCTAAAACCTGCAAGTGACTCAGCACTCCTGAGCTGTGTTCGAAACCACTCACTCACTCACTCACTCACTCACTATTCCTTATTCCCTATTTCGTGTTTACTATATAGTGCACTACATGGGGAACGACTGAACGAGATTTCGGACACTAACTGAAATTTTTTCTTCTTCTTCTCCTCTGGCAAAAGACGACCGCATTGCATTGTGGTATAAGGGAGTAAAATGTAGGGTACGTTTTATTTTATAGTCCACTATATAGTGAATGAAATTAACCGCGGAGAATTCCAACAACACTACAAAATGGCGAGCACACTATATAGTGCACTATATCCGTGATAGGGAGCGATTTCGAACACACCTCTGGTTTCCTTGTCTCAGTGTCCATGTTTCTGACGTTAGCATGTAGCCAAATGTACATTAGCAGTGAACATTCAGCCGGGAATACCTGTAACGGAGAATAGCTGCACTTTCTACCATGAAAAATCACAAAAATCCTGAACACAACCAGACATGTTCCAGCAGGAATATGATCAAGAATCAGGAGAAATTTATAATGTAAACTAAAATTAATATTCCCCCTGACGTTAGCATGTAGCGAAATGTATGTTAGCAGTGAACTTTCAGCCGGTAATACTTGTAACGGAGAACAGCTGAACTTTCAATCGTGAAAAATTACCAATAAAAGCTTCTAAACACAACCAGACATGTTCCAGCAGGGATATGATCTGAAATTGGGAGAAATTTATAATGTAAACTAAAATTAATATTCCCTCTGACGTTAGCATATAGCTAAATGTACATTAGCAGTGAACTTTCAGCCGGGAATACTTGTAACGGAGAACAGTTGAACTTTCAATCGTGAAAAATTACCAATAAAAGCCTCTAAGCACAATCAAACATGTTCCAGCAAGGATATGACTGAAAATCTGGAGAAATTTAGAACGTCAGCAACCATACGTATTTCCCTGACGTTAGCAAGTAGCTAAATGTACATTAGCAGTGAACTTTCAGCTGGGAATACCTGTAACGGAGAACAGTTGCACTTTTACCATGAAAAATCACAAAAAAACCTGAACACAACCAAACATGTTCCAGCAGGAATATTATCTGAAATTGGGAGAAATTTACAACGTGAACTAAAATAAATATTCCCCCTGATGTTAGCATGCAGCTAAATGTACGTTAGCAGTGAACTTGCAGCGGAGGATAACAGTAACGGAGAATTCTATCGTGAAAAATTACCAATAAAAGCTACTAAACA